GTGGCCTTGAACTCTCTCTTCCTCCTTAGCCTCCTCAGTGCTGGGATTATATGCATGCACCGCTATGCCCAGTAGAGCTGTTCTTTTCTACCCATAAAGTGATTGTCAGGATGTAGTTTAAAGGTCTTGGTTTAATGTTGTTACTAAATTTCAGTTATATTTTGTTTCATTCAAGTGCAGCACTGACTTTTTTTGTTGTTGTTGTTGTCTTTTTGAAGCAGGGTCTCCCTGTAGCCCCAACTGTCCTGGAACTCACTATGTAGACCAGGCTGGCCTTGAACTCAGAGAGATCTGCCTGCCTCTGCCTCCCAAGTGCTGGGACTACAGGTGTGTGCCACCAAGCCCGGCTTTATTTTATTTTATGTGTATGAGTGTATTGCCTGCATATACATGAGTGCACCTATGTTGTGCAATGCCGCGGAAGTCAGAAGAGGACTTCAGATTCCTCTGGAAATGGAGTTAAGGACAATTCGTAGCTGCCATGTGAGTGCTGGGAATTGAACTTGGATACCCTGGGACTGGAGTTATGAACAGTTGTTAGTTGTCATGTAGGTGCTGGGATTCAAACCTGGGTCTTCTGCAAGAACAGTGTTCTTAATCACTGAGTCATCTCCCCAGCTAGCACTGACTTTTTAAAATAACCTATTCTTAATATAGTTATCTATGTAAGATGGTTTTACTTTGGGATTCTGGAATCTTAAAACTCTGAGCTGAGCTCCTGACTCTAAATGGGACATCCATATCACCTCCTCCAAGGCTCAGGGAACATCACGAAGAAGGAGCGGAAAGAATGAAAGAGGTGGAGGAGAAGAAAGTGTGCCACAAAAAGACATCTTCCGGATGTGACATGGCCATTACACTCATGAACTCACTGCAGCTATGATTGCTTGTATAAGACTGGGCCCATCAATATTTCATCAAGGAAGGAGGGGCTCAGGAAGCCTCTCCCTGAGGAGTAGTTATTGGTTGCTGAGGGGATGTCATTTTAAATTTCAGTGGTGTAGCTATTGAAAAGTAACTCATGCTCAGTAAATAACTTTCCTGTCTTCATGCAAGCAACCCTAATCAAACTCAGTGGTCACACAGAGAACCATAAAAGTAGGAAGGGCACTTCTTAGGAAGAAGGGCTTCAGCAGCAGGAAGGGCGAAAGAGGATAATGGGGGTGAAAATGACTAAAATGTAAAAATAAATAACTGCATATACTGTATAAATGTAGAGAACTACCAAAATAATTTTTAAAATGGAACTGTTGCTTCCCTGGCTGAACCTGACCAACAAGTGCTTATCTAAGACTTTTGACAAACGCTAGCTGCTCAACCTATGGTACATTGTTACTATCACTGCTTTTGCCACAGTCAGAATAATATACTCAGTGATTTAAAAACCTAAGCCACTGAAATGTTTTCTGCTGTGTAAAATGCCAATTCAAGTTAAATTCCTACATGAAAAATAAATTCATCACTAACCACCAGTCCTTTCACTGTAACTTCACAGCCATTATTTGATTGCCTTCATTTATTCCTCTAATTGTTTCTTCAAGAAAGGCTATTGGTGGGCTAGAGATATAGCTCAGTTGATAGAATGCTTGACTATCTGTAAGAAGCCCTGGTTTGATCTCTAGCACCACATAAACTGGGTCCCAGGGCACAGGCTTAGAATCCCAGCACTCAGGTGAAAGTAGGTGGATCAAGAGTTCAAAGCCATCCTCTGCTACATAGCAAGTTTGAGATCAGCTTGAGATACCTGAGAACCTGTCTCAAAAAAAAAAAAGCTATTGGTTAGCATAAAATTCTAAACTGTACCTTTTTTTCTTGAAGCCTTGATCCAGTCTTCTAAAGTTGAATGTCAACATTAAGAAGTTTGAAACCAGGTCAGTTATTCATATGCGCTCACAGCAATGGTGACAGCACGGACAAGTTCCACATAAGTTCAAGCCAGACAAAATCCCAACATAGACGTGAGGAAATGGGTAAAAAACCCCAACCCAACCTGAGGAATTATTGGAACCAATGACTTCTGGGGAAATTCAGGCACATTTAAGGGTGAGATTCTTTTTTTCTTTTATAAATATTTTATTTATTATGTTTATTTTATGCATACGAGTGTACTGCCTGCATGTATGTGAGTGCATTCGTGTCGTGCAACACCACAGAGGTCAGAAAAGGGCTTTGGATTCCCCTAGACCTGGAGTTAAAGATGGTTCATAGCCGCCATGTGGGTGCTGGGAATCGAACCCAGGTCCTCTGTAAGAGCAGTCAGTGCTCTTAACCGCTGAGCCATCTCTCCAGCCCCTAAAGGTGAGATTCTTAGTGGACTGACCAGGCTCCAGTGAATGAACCCACATGGAAGGGCATTTGGGGACACAAACCTGACTCTAAAGGCCTTTATATATAATTTCTGTATTATATATAACAGAGAAATTTGGTGGGAGGTTAGAAAGGGCGGTTCAGATATGGAAGAGGATCTAAATATGATCAAAATATATTGAATGAAATCACAAAAATTAAATTTAAATTTAAAAAAAGAAGTTTGAAGCCAACCTATGATTAAAAGTTATATCTATTTCAGTTCAAATATCCAAAGGATTCTTCTGTCCTCTAGTAATTTCACTGCTTCTACTAACTTCACTGGGATGTCTTAGTGTTGATTCTCCAGCATTGTTTTTACTGAGACATATGTGTGCTCAATCATTTTCACTTAGGAAAAAAATCTTCCTTTTTCTAATATTTTATTTATTATTTTATGTGAATGAGTATACTGCCTGTATGTAAGTGCACACATATTGTCAATGCCCATGGAGGTCAGAAGAGGGCATCAGATCCCCTGGAACTATAGTTACGGACAGTTGTTAGCCACCATGTGGGTGCTGGGAATTGAACCCAGGTCCTCTGCAAGAACAGTCAGTGCTCCCAACCACTGCCCCATCTCTCCAGCCCCAGGAAAAATCTTCCTTGAATGACTTTTTAAAATATTTCTTGTGTCATTACAAAGTGGACTGGTCATTGTGAACTCCAAATGCATATGCTGAATCTCTGTCTTTCATTACTGTTTTCTCTCTCATCCATTTATGCTTTTACTTCCTTTTCATTTTGCTTGTTTGTTTCCTGGCCTCTGTCTCTTACCTTGTGTCAACAGTATTTATTCTTCTTTATCCAATTTTGTCTTCACCTTATGCAACATTTTATTTTTATAATTTTTAATTTTTATTTTATGTGTCTGAGTGTTTTGCCTGCATGTCTATAAGTGCACTACATGTGTGCAATGCCCATGGAGGCCAGAAGAGGGCATTGGATCCCCTGGAACTAGAGTTATAGATGGTTAGCCACCATGTGAGTGCTGGGAATCAAATTCAGGTCCTCTGTAAGAACAGCCAGTGCTCTTAACCATTAAGCCATCTCTCTAGCCGCCCCCCCCATTTTTATTTTTTCACTCCACTTTTTTTTTCATCAGTGCTGAGGATCAAACCATGAACTTGCATATGCTAGGAAAATGCTCTACCACCACCAAGTTACATCCCCAGTTTTCCACTTCTTTTCTGAGCTTCACAGCTTGGGCTTCATCTTCTGATGCTGTGTTATGTGCCTGAACTGACTATTACAAAGACAAGTATTTTATTTTTAGAAAAACTTCATTTTTTACTTATGGGAAAACAATAATTTCCCTATGTTCCAGTGTTAATCTTTCTTTTTTTCTGTTCTTAAAGAATTTATCTGGGGCTGAAGAGATGGCTCAGCAGTTAAGAGCAGCCATGACTGCTCTTACAAAGGACCCAGGTTCGATTCCCACCACCCATATGGGGCTAACAACCATCTGTAACTCCAGTTCCAGGAGAATCCGACACCCTCTTCTGAGTTCAGAGGGCATTGCACAACATGGGCACACTTACATACCTACAGGCAATACGCTCATACACATAAAATAAAAGTAATAAAGTATTTTAAAAAAAAAAGAATTTATCTAGGCAGGTGGCACATGTCTTTAATCCCAGCACTAGAGAGGCAGAAGCAGGCAGTTCTTTATGAGTTTAAGGCCATAGTGAGTTTTAAGTTAGCTGGGGCTACCAGGGAGACCCTGTCTCAAAAACAAAGAGTACTCAGGAGGCAGAGGCAGGCAGATCTCTGTGAGTTCAAGGCCAGCCTGGTCTACATAGTGAGTTCCAGGACAGCTGGGGCTACAGGGAGACCTAAAAAAACCAAAAAAAAAAAAAAAGAAAGAAAAAAGAAAAACAAACAAACAAAGAAGGATTTCTCTGCCTTTTCTTCATTTTTTTCATACAATACTTTAGTATATATTCCACAGCATTCCTCTGGGGAAAGGCCAGCTTTGAGTTAGGCAGTTCTTCTGCACCAGCTATTTATATGGTTTATATAAAGGAAGGATTGAGTATGTATTTTAAGTAATGAGAATTTTGTTTTTAACACAGGATTGTGTATGAAAATTTTAATCTTCACTTCTCTCAAGCCAGAGCTATGCAGCTCTATAGCTCTATCACCCCTCAGCTACGTGAATAGACTACTTACTGAAAATACGAAAATTAGTCCTTCCTATACTGCCTCTTATGATCAAAACAGTCCAGAGACTTTTCTATCATAATGTATGTATTCTATTCTATTTTCATTGAAAAAGCAAGAGTGTGGTTTTGTGCCTCAAGGTGTATATCTCACTTTAGGGAAATGTATAGTGTGGCTCTTTCTGAGATCCATATGATCCACAGGTAAGATTTTCCATGCTTCCTCCAGCACCGCTGGCACATTTCCCTGTGCAGCCATTTCAAATGTGTTGTGGTTCACAGCCTCAGATATCTAGGTTTATGGACCATCACACTTATCACAACATACATCCATGCATATGTGTGGCCACTGAACTCAACTCACCTTCCTCCTTGTAAACTAATTATCAAAAGCTGGTTAAGAATTGTATTTAAATAAGAAAAACAATAACTGTCAAATATCAGGGGTGAAGAAAGAAGAGGATCAAGAAAACGTTTGGTTCCTGTTACCTGGCTTAGTGTCTGTTACTCCTTCCATGAGAACCAGTCCTACTGGTCGCTGACAAGCGATATTGCAGAAGCGGAAACGTAGCAGGAAGTCTCTACCATACTTACGTCTCTCTGTAAACCAGGAAATACCATACAGTGAAGAAAGGAAAAGGAAGCACATTCTGACTCCTCCTTAGTACCAAGAAGCTTCCAGCTAACAACACAGAGGAAATCTGACTCTGAGGACAGAGAGATTTTTCCTACAGCTATAATTTCAATTTGTTTATTTCACTGGGTAACATGGAAGACAATGAGAAAAACAGAGGAGCTTGCTAAGAGAATTAAGGGGATTCTACTTTCTCTTGACATTGAAAGCAAGCTTTCTTCCTACATGAGCATGAAGACGTCAATTAAGAATGTGCTTACCTGATCGCTTGGGATCACAGGTGACATACTGACAGCAATCAGTGATGCCCAGGGAGCTGGGCCACAGTGGGGCCTGCAGCTTCCTCTGGTAAAGCTGATGAGAGAAGTCTTCCTGTCCAGACACCTACAAGGAAAAAGCAAGGTGAGAAATGAGGAAGCCAAGATAGAAAAAGAAAAACAACAATTTATGTTTTAGGACATTTGGACAAATACAAACATATAATCAGAATATACATGAAATAAGCAAGCCACATAAGTCTCAGGGGAAGGTAAAAATAAGGACCTTTACTTTTTCACTAAAGACACTGAAATGTCCATGAGATAGGAAAAAATGGAAAGAAAGTAAAGAGTTAGTCAAGGAAAGCAGAGCTGTATGAGCATGTGGTCCTAAAGTTCACCTTGGGAAAATCCACACAGTCCTCCACAGGGAGACCTACTCTCTCAGGGGAAACAGGTTTATCCTGTCATCCTGATCGCTGGATCTTCTGGATCAAAGTCAATACCCTGAGTCTATTACTGGGAAACCACAGGGTCAAACCAAATGGGATATGCACCAAGCACTTTACTGTATCTATGTCACCATCCTCGGTCAAAGTCAATGAGCAGCCTAGGAACGGAAAGAGCGTATGGGGAAACATTTGGCAACATCAGTCATCTGTGTATCTCCAACATGGATGGCAAAATTCCCTTTATTTCATTTAACAACAAATATTTGAATGCCAACTATGTGCAAGACACTAGGAGAGAGTGGTGACAGGCAATCCCTCTGCCCTAAAAGGGCATAAACATTCAGTATGTCATCTGGAGTGAAAGAGATCTGGAATTTAATGGTCATTTAATGGCTGTGACTTTGGAGGAGTTAGTTAACTCTTTAAGTTAGTATTCTCTTACTGTAAAATGGGACACTGATACGATGTACAATTAAAAATCTTAATAATACCACTACCAATTACTGACTGCTGTTCTTTGAACAAGGTACTAGAAAACACTTTACATGCATTATTTTATATAATCCATAAAAAAGATCCAATATAGGTCCCATTATATCCTCATTGTACAGATGAAGTCAATGGGGCTTGAGACAGTTTAGTGACTTGCCCAAGGTGGATCAAACAGGGATTTGAACCCAGGGCTGTCTGGTTTCAAATCAAGCACTCTCACATCCCAGTGCCTGTCATGTGGTAGGCATTCAGCAAATTCTCCTTTTCCAGAGCTCCTTGATCACAGTTCCTTTAGAGCAGAAAAATGCCCAATCCTAGGCAACCAGGACACTAACACTTGAGTAACCTCATTAAAACAAAAGCCCATGGTGCCCCAATGTGCCCCTTCTCGATCATACTTTGCCAAAAATTAAACACTAAGATGAATCAGTTGGAACAAAAAAGATTAAGTGAAATACAATCAAGTCAGCACAAACTGATAAAACTAAGTACTATCTATGCTATCAACATTTGGCAGTCAAATAAGTTAAAAGAAATTAGATTTACATGCAAATTGTTGACTCAAAGAAAAAACAAACAAAAAAACCCTCCCAAAAACAGTAAGTGCTTATACAACACATACAGAGATTATATGTCACCTGTTATAGCAATCATATCATGGCGCCAGAGGCCAGACCAGTTATAAAGCTTGACTCCTCCACTATCTACAAAACCTAGATAAAAATCACTTAACTGCTCTGTACCTTACTTTTCTCATTTATAAAACAGAAGCAGGGATAGAAACAGTGAAAATTATTGAGTTAATACATGTAAAGTACTCAAAATGGGAACTGATACAGAGTTAAGACTTAAGAAATATACACCATGATAAATCATAGGAGCACAATACCACTGTCAGTGCAGAAAACAATCCGGAAGAATGCACCAAACTTAGTCATTACGTCACTCTAAGTGGGAAGGTAGGGAATTAAGGTATAGAAGGGGGATTTTACTTTGTTTCAACTCCTAAAAAATATGTAGGTATCGCTTATGAATAAAACAGATAAAAATGGGAAGTTTTTCAATTTACCAAAGATAGTTGTCTACTGCTAGCCCCCAGGTTCAAACACAAGCTATTCAACATATGCAGCAGCAGCAGGAGGAGGAGGGAGCCAAGCAGATGTGACAGCCCTGCCACAGAAGAAGCAACCAGCTCTCTCCCTAAACCGTGCTCCCACCCCCCAGTGGCTGTCCCCATTTCACCTTCCAGGCTGGCATCCCATTGTACTGGAGCTCTCCATCCCTGATGAAGTTGTAGAGAGGTGAATCAGGGACAGAATTCAGGTCCCCACACAAGATGATAGGGCAGTGGCTGCCATCTGACAACCTGGCCACCTTGTCCACTTCAGCCAGAAGAATGGCCATCTGAGCCAGCTTGATGTCACCCCTGCGTGGATTGTATAGCACATGGGTATTTGCCACGCACAGGGGAGCAACTGAGACTTGCCCCAGGCCTTCTGGGACTAGTGGCTGCAGCAGCAATACTAAGCCCACATTGTCCCGATTGAGGAGCTCCAACCCAGGCCGGAAATACTCCACAGGGCTGGCACAGAGAAGACGGAATCTGGTGGGCTTGTAGCAGACAGCGCAGCCATCCGTTTTACACCCAGTTCTCCTCTTATAGAAACAGGTAAAGCCTGAAAGGAAACACCACCAAGGACATGGGTCAGAGTCCTTGAAGCCTGAATCCCTTTCCAACCAGTAAGACAGCACTAGGGTGTGTGCCTAAGGCACTGTTCCTGCTGCCCCATAAGGGAAGCCCTGCCCTTGCCACCTCTGTATTTCTGCAGAGATTCCCTTACAGCTGTAACCAGAAGCTTGAGAGACTGGAAGGGTAAGGAGAGAGGGAAGGGTATGAAGCAACACAACATGACAGGAAGAACAGAGGCTTATCACCAGAGGAAGAAATGGTTCAACGGGAGTCCTGTGATCCAGTGGGTTACGAGCAATGTGGCTTCCCCCATCCCTAGTCTCTTGACTCTGGAGTCAGAAAAGTAGGAGTTCTAGCTCCACAACCTACTAGCTTTGTAGTTTGGGAATTCTGAGCAAGCTCTCAGAACCTGTTTCTCATCTGTAAAATGGGAATAGCACTCAGCCTCATGGAGTTGGTTACTTCAAGGAACTGAAAAACTGCAGAACTCCACTTTCTCATCCATACATGAAAAGAAAGCCCACAGGCAAAGCTGAGAATTTACTGACACAAAGATGGGCTCTTGGGGAGGGAGGAGGCAAGGTTGGAGGAAGGAGGCTGGCAAACATGCTGGGGACCTGCAGTACCCATCATCTGCAGAGAGGGCTCCAGCTGCTCCCAGTAATGGTCTTCCTGGACTTCCTGGAGACACAGGATCTGAGAAATGGACAAGACCAATCACTCCATCAGGCCGGCAGGAATACGACTCCCATTCCCCAGAAGCAGGCACCCAGATCAGGTAGAGGGTCACACTGAAACTTCCCACAGGGCTGACTTGCCAGAAAGATAGTCACTAACAGCAAGAACAGACCCAGACTGAAGCTTGAGATGGTCAGATAGGTATATTAGAGCCCTCTGCTCCTTGAAGCCCTCAAGCCTCCCTTCCTGCATAAAGATGCTGGAAAGTGCACACTCCAGTCATTCATCTTGGCATCTGCCCAAAACTCTTGACTCCACGGCAGGCAAGCTCCAGTCTGTCTCATCCACAGAGCCAAAGACAATCATGGCCTGACTGGCACAACTGTCATCATCTAAACAACTATGCAACAGGGAACTTATTCTCTCCGGCAACAGGAAACAGCCTAGGTCAGCACCAATGCAAGATGGCACATCTTCCCCCTTCACTCACATCAGGATCCCAGTGCTGGAATTCCTGCATGAGGTTGGCGAAGCGATAATTCCAGTTGAGGATGTCGGGATGGCAATGCAGATAGAGCTCTGAGCTCTGCTGCATCAAATCCTGGGCCAGAATGTTATAGGACATCAGCGTGAACTGGAACTGAGGGCCATCCCCTGCCTCCAGACCCTGTGCATCTGGCTGGGTGGAGAAATCTTCCCATTCTCGCCACAAGATTTCTGCAAAGGGGTCAAGGGAAACATTCCAGAAGTGCAGGTTATGCAGAGGCCAAGTCACTACCCCCCAGTGCCATATTGTGCGTAAGATTCCTTTCTCCATTGCCCATCACCTATCCTGATAAGGACATTTTTCAGAGCCACAGACAATCTTGGCTTCTTCCCCACTGCATCCCCCAGTACCTAGCAGATGCTCAGACTTAAGAATCTAACAAGCTCTCACTTCTGAAACATCCAGGAGTCTCTGGAGAATCATTCAGTGAGGTAGTATTAAAGTCATCTGGGGTTAAGGACATTTCTAGAGTAATTTCAGCTGACTGTTTTCTGTCTCTACAACTGGTTATTGTAAGAGGCAAGTGAATGAATTTCAAACCCATTTAAGCCAGAGAAATCTCTTCACATTTTAATAGACTCCCAATATGTAACACAAATAAAACGAGTTATTCTCCTTGACGCAGAGCAGAGTCCCTGAGACCTCTCTACCCCTGCTCCCATAGCCCTTGAGGCACCCCTCTAGAGAAAGGGCAGTGTGGACTATCAGTTCTTCTATTACATAGCTGCAAGGCATTAGACATGTCCCACTGCCTCTCTGTACTGTGACTATTTCATCTGTAGATCCATGAGCTTGGATATGATGACCTTTAAGACCCTGCCAAGATCTGACTCTGCAAGAATCTCAGAACAGAATGCAGAGATCTCTCCACTATGGGCTCTTCTCCAAGGTGACCTGCCACCCTGGCTCACTCTACTGGTTATCAGACTTACCATGATAGGGTATTTCCAGTGGGGAAGGCTGCAACTGCTCCAGGCCTTCAAAGGGCCACATGGAAGTCTCTTCCTGGGGCATAGGCTCTGGTGCTATGCCCCAGGCCACCATCGCAGGGTCCTCTTCCCACTGATCCGCAGCCATTGTGCCCATTGGGAGAACAGCACAGTCTGTGTACTGGGGCCCTGCCTGCACCGGGACAGCTGCCCACAAGGGACCATCGACCTCAGCCAGTGGCTCCTCTCCTAGCACCTCAGGGAATGGCTGGTCCAGGTTCTCTGCTGCCCGCAGGTCACTCAGCTGCCTGCTGGACCACTTGTCCTCCGAAGCAACATTCTGTTCTCCAGAATTATCCATCAGGAGTGCCAGGCTGCTCTCAGCTAGTCCCTTATCTGCAAGGGGACCGTCACTCACAGTTGAGAGTGCCTGGTTCGACCCTTCTTCTTGCCACTGCTGCAGCAGGCCCTCACACTCCTCTTGGTCAGGGCCCCAAGGGGCCATGGCAAAGTTACCCTCTACCTGGGGGGACGAGCTCTTCGCCAGAAGGGCATTTTTTCGACATGTAAAGAAAGCATCTAAAAAGAAAGTCAAAATATCATGTTCTTTGAAGAGCACATCACTCAGTCCACACTCTTCCCATGCTAGAATGTAAGCCTCCTATGAAACAAGGATCATAACCACCTTGTTCATCATTGTGCATCACTGTGCCTTCCCAATTTAACACCTGGAACAGCGTCTCAGCAGTGCTTACTATGTGCCAGGTAATGTTTTAAATACTCTACAAGTATTAATACATAGCAGGAACCTGGTAAATTCCAATGCATGAATGAAAGAACTGCTGGTCCCACATAATCTATGACACAGATAGGCACATATAACCACACCTCTTTTATCTGGAGGTAAACCCTACTTTTAACATCAACTCTCTGGTCCTAACAACTCATTCCATCAAAACTAACATTTGACCATAAAATGGTACTGTACATTACGGCCTTGTATAGAAATTAACAAAATTGACTGGCTCTGAACAATGCTCCTATTCAGACTGACTTCATCTTGACTGTAAGATGGGAACCAGAGAAGTTCCAGCTAGACAGTCTCCAAGAGTGTTCTAGCTCTCTCAATCCCCTAATCTACAAAGGCATTCCAAAAGGAAAGATCCTAAAGTGAACAATCTTGAAATCAATGCAACTTACTTCTTAGCAAAAGCCCTGGGCCTCTTCTCAAAGCTATTTATTCTACCCATAAAATTTTCACAAACCTCATTATCTGCTTTCCCATTCCATAACACATCAGAGGATGTTAATTAAAAGGTGCCAACAACTGACAGTTACAAGACAGCTGTCATCTCTACAACAGCAGCCACAAATGACAGCCAACTTGCAAGAAAGCAGGGGGGAATCTCTGAAATCAGAGCTTTCAAATAGTATTTTGATGAGGGTAAGCAAACCATACCACTTATTTACAGCACATGAAAACTAACATGCACAACAATGGCCCACCATCACTAGATATTCATTTTATTGGCAATTTTTAAAGGAATGAAAAACTACAAAACTGCTCAAATAATGAAAATTCAAATGTCCTTGCAAATTATATGAATTTATGTCCTTTAAATCAGTGGTGTTTAGGCTCGGAAAGCAAAGGCACTTTGCTGTAAAGGATAAAGAGAACCTGGCTTACACACAAAATACATTTTTTAAAAAATGAAATCATTGGTTTTCAATAAGGTAAGAGGACAGATTTTGCCCTAAGGGGACAGCACTGTTCAGAGACACTGTGGGGACCACAACTGTAACAGTGCCATTGGCATCTAGTGGTCAAAGGCTAGGAGTACCAATGAACACTCGACAGTGCACAGGGCAGAGTCACAACAGTCGAAAGTATCAACAGTGTTCTCAACCCACAGGCTGGGTTGCTGGGTTTTGGTCAGGACTTGCTAATTATCTGCCCCTTGAAACATCATTGATGCATATCACAAGGCAAAGGAGATTTGGTCTACAGGCATGAAGTCACAAAGCTTTCAAATTTAGGTGGTATTGGTGGTGATTGTTTTTCAAGAGGAGAATGCTTTCTTAAATCTTTTAAAAAAAAAAAAAAAAAAACAAACACACAAAATTGACGTGACCAGCACTTTAGTGTGTAGATGTGGGGGGCTCCCCTAAGATCCCTAGAATATACAACTGGGAAAGCTGTGACTAGTACTTAGGCTGCCATTGTGGAGAACCAACAGCCTACAGATAGTTAAAAGATGAGTTCTCTGAAAACAGTGACTTCTGCAAGATTTCCCATTCCTGAAAAGTATGGACACCCAAGACCTTCTTGAGTTCACTGGAGATCCACTACCACCTGCAGACACAGTGGTAACACGAGATACAGCAAAGTGGACATGGACATGGACCTGACCCCCGCTCTGAAGCTGGCAGTGTAGTGGAGACACTGTAAAAAAAAAAAAAACTTAATGCTTCATATGAAACATATAGTATCAAACACCCACACACTGTCGCTCCAGAAAGAAAAAACACGGGTGCAGTTGGGCCCTTTATTCTTAAGAAACTCCTTGCTCTTGTCCTCTAAGCTACAGGAGAAAAGTCTGAATTCTGGGAAATGACGGAGAAAAACTGGGGGTTGCATGAAAGCCTATGGATTTCAAAAACAGAGAAAAGGCAGATCATGCAAAAATAAAGAGCCGCCGCGGTCTATCCCCAGAGCACTGCCCCACCCTACCACACCTCTCTACTCAGGATCTGCTCCTAAGCGGTGGCTCAGCAGTTTGTTTTGTTTTTCAACTGGATTCCGCAGGGGAGACAGCGAGTGACAGTGACCGGCCGCAGGGTAAGCGGGTGAGACGTGAGCCGGGACAGACAGGGGCGCCCGGCTGTCAGCCCACCCGCCTCGGGACGGCCCCGACTCTACCCGCGGAGACATCGGGTCCTCGCCAGCCGGCCGCTGCCACCGCTCCCGATCCCCCGGAGTGCCTCAGCCCGCCCCGGGACCTCTGCACTGCCACAGCCACGGAGAACCGCCCTTCCCCTGCCCGCGGCCACGTTAACCGTGGCCGGACGTCACCAGACCGCACCGTGAGGAGGGGCTGCCCTCGAGAGTCGCCGGCCAGTCCCGGCCTAGTGGGGCCGGAACGGCCCGTGGGCCGAGGTCAAGCGCTGCCTCACACCTTTGCCACCTGCAGACGACCGTGGAGGTCCGGCGCTCCACACACCGCCCCAGGCCCCGCGGAGCCTAGCAGGGGCAGCCCCGGCTCCCGCCGGTCAGGACGCGGGGCCGGTACCTGAAAGGGCGCGGAAGAGGCGCGCGGCCGGCAGCAGCAGGTAACACAGGCACGACGCTATCATGGCCGGTCGCCCGCCCGCGCCGCCCTCAGCCCAGCCGGACGCCCTACACTCTCGGCTCAGCCCCGCCTCGCACCGCCCATGCCCCGCCCCCACTCCGCCAAGCCCCGGCCAGGGCCAGCCCACTTACGCGCCGCGGCTGTCGCGCCCCCCCTCACTTCAACAACAACTTTATTGGGAGCACAGGCTGGAGTAAGAAGGAGCTGGTTTCCATAGCAACGACCAGCCTCGCTCCCAATCAGGGTAGTCACCCTCCGTGGTTTAAAATGACGGCCTCCACAATGAAACCCATTACTTTGTATTCTGACTTTAAAAGTTCATTAAGTAAACAAAATTAAGAAGCTCGCTGGAGGCTCTATGGATTCACTAAGAGGCCATAATTTTTTCCTATTTCTGCCACTAGCTAGGTGTCCACCTTAGGAGCATCATATGTCCTATTTGCTCATTTCCTCGTCAGTAATATGAAGGGCCCAGCTTTTTGCACTAGCCCTTCTGAACCAAAAGGAGAGGGTTCTCATTCCCAAATACTTTCCTGCCTTTATAGTTTTTCCCCAGCCCAAATTCTAGGTCACAAATGGAGTCCTCACTTGTGTCAAGCACATACCATTTTTGTCTCCTTCCTCCATCTGTTCCAAATGGACTGTGAAAAAATGGTGTATCCAATTCAAAGTGAGGGAGGACTCCTCAAGACCAGAGACCATGTCTAACTAGTAGTGTGTTTACCTTGAAGTATTGCTAGTGCCTAATACTAGGTCAGTCACAGTATGAACTAATGGTTGAACAAAGTGTGTGTCACTGAATTAAGCTTATTTCTTCCCTCAGTTCTGTGCTAACCAAAGACCTCTTTGAATCTCTCTTCCCTTATCCACTACCCTCAATCCTCTACCCCAGCTATGATCTAAAGAAGGAAGGACTACATAATACACCCAGTTTCAGTACCCAGTGCCTGAGCTGTGCCATTTCCAGTTTGTGGCTGGAGCCTTGGCTGTTCAGGGAAGCCCTCTGGGGAGTCACCAGATCCTGGACCAGCTGGGTACATCATAACACTGAAGAGCTAAAAGGAGGAAGGAGAGAGTCAGTAATGTGGTATTCCTATGATTTCCCCTACAGCAGCACTCACTGGCTTTACCAAAGATGAACTCCAGCAATCTCAAATTCAGGGAGCCACTTAGAACTTAAATGTTAGTATAACCTAAGGAACCATAGGTCAAGCCCATTCCAACATGGCTTCAGGGAACCCTCCTTCCACTTTCTCCCAAGAGTTTTCTAGAAGTCAAAGCTCTAAATCAGATCTTAAAGCAAGAATTATATATATATATATATCAGTTTGTGAAGCAATGGTTCTTTCATCTACATGGAAAATGACTCTAAAATACAGACCTCCAAGCCCTCTTCCCAGAGCTCTGCTTTCACAGATCTGAGGAGAGGCACTTATCACTCCTCAGGTTGTTCTAGGTTAAAGAACGTCTGCTTACAGGAGCTAGGCTTGCCTGGGCTGCTCAGATATTTGTTGTACCTAGGACATGATTATGGGTGTATTATGGCAGGCCAGCTAATGCCAACTTTTTCAGAAGCTTTTCCTGGGGACAGTGGAGCAAAGCCTCCCTCTTTGCTTCCTAACTCTTAATTGGCTATGTTGGAAAGTGAAGGGTGACATGAAAATTGCCAGCTTTGGCATTAGACTCCCTGAGTTCAGTAACCTCTCGGGTTACTTAGCCTCTTAGTGCCTCAGTTTCTTTAGCAAATCTGAGCTGGAGTTGGCTCTCAATGTTTTCTTTCTTTTTAAAAATAGGATCTCGGCCAGGCATGGTGGCACACACCTTTAATCCCAGCACTCGAGAGGCAGAGGCAGGCAGATCTCTGTGAGTTCGAGGCCAGCCTGGTCTCCATAGCGAATCCAGGCCAGCTAGGGCTACAGGGAGACCAAAAAAAAAAAAAAATACGGTCTCATGTACCCCAGGCTGACCTTGAACTTGCTATGTAGCTAAGGATGACTTTGAACTTCTGATCCTCCTGTCGCTACCTCTCAAGTGTTGGGATTACAATTATGCACAACCACCCCCAATTTATGTAGTGGTGGTGATCAAACCCAGGGTTTTGTGCATGCCAGGCATCTATTATGTTTTTTGAACTTGGACAAAAGCCAGCTCTAGTCACTGTAAGTGTTACATAGTCCATAGTCCCTGGCTGAACTACAGCTCCTGCCTTCCAAACTACCACATGGCATTTGCAAACAAGCCACTAGCTGCAGATTCCAAGGAGACTCGGTCTGGCAGAGCACAGCCTCAGGCTTCCTCAGTCAAAGGAAAATTACAAGCTTGATCTGTACTGTATCCAACTTCATCATAACAGAAATAATCTCAGAGAGGAATGAGCCCCTCGGTTCATTCCAACTGTGATAATAATGGTGGCAGTGAGGCACACTTGCCTTCTTCATTAGTGCAGCTCCAAGGTACAGATGCTAACAGAGCAAGGGAGAGAGGCTTTGCAATACTTTGAAGGATTTAACTTGGTACATCTGGAAGTTCAACAAGATGACTGCCTATAATTCATTTGTCGTACCTATGGAAATTACCTTCAGAACTATAGAAGTGACTGACCAAGGCCTGCAGAGTGCTGCCCACCTCACCCCCCAAAATGAAGTGAGCCCCATATGTAATTTAAAACGTTGTACCAGAGACTGGGATGTAGATCGGTGGTAGAGCATTTGCCTAGAATATATAAAGCCTTGAGTTCAATCCTCAGCATCACACACCAAAAAAATTATAGTAGATTCATATAAAAAGTAAAAGTATGGACTGGATGTAGTGGCGTACTCCTTTAACCCAAGTACTTAGGAGGCAGAGACAGGTAGATCTTTGTGAGTTCAAGGCCAGTCTGGTCTTCATAGTGAGTTCAAGTCAACTAGGGCTACATAGTGAAACTGTCTTTAAAAAATAAATAAATAATAAATAAATAAATAAATAAATAAATGGCCAAGATGTAGTTCAATGATAAATCATTTGTCTAGCATGCACAGGCCCTGTATTCAATCCCCAGGACCACATTTTAAAAGGAAAAAAAAACCAAGTAAATAAAGCAAGTGAAATTACTTTTAATAATGTTTAATTCAACCCTACAGATACAACATTTTAGCATCTTAGTCTGCAATTAATATTTTAAAGTGAAGGATTTTTCTTAAACTTTTTTGCACTCAGTCTTTGAAATCTTGTGTGTTTACGTAACAATCACATCTCAGTTTGGACTAGCCACATTCAGAGGGCTAAAGAGCTACAAGGAGTTCGTGGCTTCCATATTAAATCTGCACAGGTCTAGAGAGCTCAGAGGGCATCTGGTAGGAGAAGCTGAAAAGAATTGCCTGTTCAACTCTTCTGATAACTCCTAAAAACTTGGCTTCACTGAGCCTAAAGTTCCCTTCACCAGCTCAGGATTTGAGACTAGAAATTCCTAGAGTGTTCCATATTAGTGTTACTCAGTATATTCATTTACTCTCTTAGTCATGGAGTCATGAAATCACAGATTCATTAGAGATTTCTCAAGTTCAGTGTTCTTCAGCCCCTCATGTGTACACTTTGACTTGCTGCCCTGTCCCTTCCTTTGCTCTTAGGAGACTATCTCCCCATCAACTCTGGAAGAACCACCAAGAGTCAACTCTCAGCTCCACCCTACTGAAACAGGGCATGAACCAAGATCCAGAACCACCTTTTCCCTCCTTGCCTCCCAACACAGTGGCTAGCCCTTCCACCAGGCTCGGGATCTCTTCCCCCTCACCTCTAGAGACGAGACGGTACTCCTCCCCCTCCTTTTCGTCACTGTCTTCTCCCATCAATACTCAGACATGCTCAGTCAACTTGTTACATTGTGACATTCAAGTTTGTCCCCTCTGGCTACCCCTCTGTCCTCGCCATCTCTCCTTCATAGCCAGTGGTCTTGCAAGCACTGTCTACATCTGCTGTCTGTACTTCTTCATCACGTCATTCATACTCATTCCTCTGAAATACAGCCTCTATCATTCCACTGGGCCTCCTTCACCAACGTTCCTGCTGCCTTCCTTGTTGAAGACTTCGGAAATCTGTAGAAAGGGTATATTCTAGGCCAGTTAGTTCCTGACTAGTCTAATTTTACATGCTTTCCCATTGTGGTTTCTGTGGCATGCTGTTTTCCTTTTTACCTCTGTGGGCCTTCTGTCCTCCTGGCCTTGTATTCCTCTGAGCACCATTCTTTTCCCTAATGGTATACCTAGGACTCTACCTTTGACCTCTTTCCTCCTACCTTACAGTCTCTCCTTAGAGAAATTTCCACCACCATAATGGTTTCCAATGCCACCTGCACATGACAACTCTCATACCTGCAGGGGGTTTGGGAAGGGTGTTATTTATTTATTTATTTATTATTAATTTATTATTTTTATAACAAGGTCTCACGTATCCCAGGCCATCCTTGAATTCACTATGTAGCCTAAGATGACTTTGAACTTCTGGATTTCCTACCTGCACATCCTGAGTGCTTAGATTACCGGCAGAGTCATCACAGCCAATTTTATGCATTTGGGGGGATCAAATCCAGAGCTTCATGCACATTAGTCAAAGCACTCTACCAACTGAGCTACTTCCCTGAACCTCACATCTGTTTTTTAACCCAATTTCTTTTCCTGGGCCATAGACACATAAATCCTTCTGCCTGCAATTCACTTCAGTAGATGGCCCAGGGATTACTCGGATTCCCTCATTACTTCCTGTCTGTAATCCCATCCCACAAAAACCTGCTGTTCTAGATCCTTTGTCTTTCCTTGGAATAGCACAATCATCTACCAAGTTAGCCTGTCCTCCTACGTCATCTCCTCTCCTTCGCTTTCATATCTGATATCTCTGGATATCTTTTGTATCTAATCAGTCTACTTTATCCTTTCAGCCACTATGATCTAGTGTTGATCCCCCTCCTGTCTTTAATCCATGTTCCACAGTACAGCCAGAGGATGCTTCCACTGTGCAAATTCCACTACTGCTGCTTCAAAACTTTCTGCACAGCATATGGATATCAGAATGCAAGCCAGAC